AGATTGCTTCCAATCTCAATTGATCAAACCTTATTCAGATTCTCTGAATAGAAATCCCAATTTAAATTTCCTTTGTACCAGGAGATAGAATATAAAATTCTTCCTCTCCGATTCCGGGTTCATCTCTACCAACAAACAAGAGACCAGGAGATAGAATATAAAATTCTTCCTCTCCATCATCGGGTTCATCTCTACCAACAAACAAGAGACCAGGAGATAGAATATAAAATTCTTCCTCTCCATCTTTGGGTTCATCTCTACCAACAAACAAGAGACCAGAATACTCCAATAGGTATACGAGTCTAAACTGTTTCCCTAATCTCAACAGGAAGTTTCTGGAGAATATCACTCAGAATATTCTTAAGAATAACTTGAATACTCCAATAGGTACACGAGTCTAAACTGTTTTCCTACCCTCAACAGGAAGTTTCTGGAGAATATTACTCAGAATCAACAAAAAAGAGACCTGATTACTCCAATAGGTACACGAGTCTAAACTGTTTCCCTATCATCAACAGGAAGTTTCTGGAGAATATTACTCAGAATATTCTGAATACTCCAATAGGTACACGAGTCTAAACTGTTTCCCTAATCTCAACAAGAAGTTTCTGGAGAATATCACTCAGAATATTCTTAAGAATAACCTGAATACTCCAACTAGGTACACGAGTCTAACTGTTTCCCTAATCTCAACAGGAAGTTTCTGGAGAATATTACTCAGAATATTCTTAAGAATAACCTGAATACTCCAATAGGTACACGAGTCTAAACTGTTTCCCTATCATCAACAGGAAGTTTCTAGAGAATATTACTCAGAATATTCTTAAGAATAACCTGAATACTCCAATAGGTACACGAGTCTAAACTGTTTCCCTATCATCAACAGGAAGTTTCTAGAGAATATTACTCAGAATATTCTTAGTCTTTACTGTCTCGCGGGCGAGACAGACTTTTACTGTCTCGCCCACGCGAGACAGTCTTTGCTGTCTCGCCGTGCGAGACAGAATTTACTGTCTTGCACGTGAGACAGTTTTCAGATGGTCAAAACTACCTTTGCAACTGCCCTACACGTGGCCACTAACTGTTCAAGAACGTGGGAAACGTCGTGGGCGAGAATCAAGTGAATAACTGCCAGAATAACGGAGTTTGAAACGTGGGAAAGCAGTTACATCGAAAACTGCCAGAAATGTAGACAGTATTTTACTGTCTCGCTGGGCGAGACAGCAAATTTACTGTCTCGCTGGGCGAGACAGCAAACACTGTCTCGCCCGCCGAGACAGCAAATGCTGTCTCGCGAGCACTGTTCATCCAGAGGGTTATAAATACCCCCGAAGGCTATTTTCACAGAGGGAGCGAGGAGAGAGGCTGATCATAGGGAGCATTTCAGAGCAATCCAGAGAGCAGAGGTGCTGATCTTACGGCCAATCCTTGATAATCAGGCTTTGACTTGATTTCAAGAAGAACGACTATCTTACATCGATAAGATATCGTTTCAATTTCTCACTTCGATAAATGAAGTCAGAATCATAAACCCCTCACGGTTCAATCAGAATCTGTGATTTGGTGGTCCACGAGTCAAAGCGCTCCCGGCACAGGCAAAGATCCCACAAAAGCAGTGATCCAAACAACGATCCTGCGTTTATTTTCTCAAGAGTTGTAATTTTCTTTTTGTTGTGTAAAAGAGTCTTATAAAATGGCTGTTTTCTTTGAATTTATTGTAATCGACCGAAGATATAATGAATTCGACAACGAAACCAACTTTTGGCGAAAACAAAAGAGTTAGATCGGCAATATAAGAGAAGCAAGCATATCATGTTCGTCTCTTACAAAGGCGATACATAGTCTGAGCATCAATAACATAAAGATTGATGTTTCGAAGTTCGACGATAAGATTAATTTCGGATTGAGGAGGTGTCAGGTAATGGACGTCTTGGATACACAGATTTTGGAGGAGACTCTTGAGTTACAAGAGAAACACGAAGACATGGAGGACAAGGTTTGTAAGAAGATGAATAGCATGGCTTGTGGAGTTATTCGGTCATGCTTGACGCCAGATCTTATTTATGACGTAATGAACAAGACGTCGGCGAAGAGAATGTGGGAAACACTCAATGAAAAGTATCTTACAAAGAGCATTGAGAACCGGCTTCACTTGAAGAAGAGGTTTTACCAATTCAAGATGAAGATGGGAGTTTCTATCAGGGAGCATGTTAACAATTTCACGAAGCTACTTTCAGATATGGCCAATGTGGATATCATGGTTGAGGATGAAGATAAGACGATGTTATTTTTGTGTTCGTTGCCTGAGGATGATTACGGTACGTTCGTTCTTACTTTGATCAATGGAAAAACTATTGTTAGCTATAAGGAAGTGACCTCAGCTTTGGTTTATAAATTAAGGAAGAGTGATGGTGAACCCTCCGAGAAGGCATCGAGAGATGCACTAGCAGTTCGAGACCGTGATTCAAACTGCCGCCAATTCAACCGCTCAAAATCAAAGAATAAAGGTGGCCATAAGAGTATTGGTAGGAATCAATGTCACTTTTATAAAGAAGAGGGACATTAGAAGATCGACTACCCAAAATTGAAGGACAAAGCCGGGAAGAATAAAGGGAAAGTTGTACAAGCTTCGAAAGTAAATGTTGCAAAAGCTATTGATGAATATTCAGAGTCAGATTCTTCGGGCTATTCGTGTCCTACACTACCATCGGTTTGCTATACCGACTCCATGGAGTGGATGTTAGATTTAGGAGCCACATTTATCACATATGCCCTAGGAGGGATTGGTTCTCTAGCTTTAAGGGGATGGAAAGAGGGGATGTCGTGCTTATGGGAAATGACCATGTATGCCCTATTGGTGGTATTGGTTCAGTCTAGATTAGGATGCATGACGGAGTGGGAGGGAATTAAAAGAAGTAAGGTTCGTGCCGTAGTTAACGAAGAACATCATTTCTCTTAGTACTTTGGAGGCAGCTGGTTATCGGGTGACCTTAGAGGATGCTACAACAAAGGTCACGAAGGGTTCTATGATGGTGATGCGAGGAGTCAGGGAAAACTTCATATGACACTTGAAGGACAAGACAGTTACAGGGGGTCAGGGAAAAAATCACAACTCCGCTGCACTTCGTAAGTTGACTTATGAGTCGACTAATGAGTCGACTAAACGTGCACAGATCTGAAATGCACATAAAAACTCAACTTTAAACCAAGTTTAAAATATCAAATAAATTTCAAAAATTATGAAACTTTGGGAGATGATTGTAGACATGATAATAAACATGCTACAAAAACTGGTTTTTAAAAAGGACCTCTCAAATGAGAAATATCATCATTTTACAAAATATTCTAAAACATGAGAATGTGAACACATGAGTTTTGACATTTTAGCTTAACCATGTTTTGAAACATTTCAAACTAATTTTGTAGACTTAATAAAAGATGTATATGATTATTATTAAGTCTATAAACCAAGAAAACAATATTTTCTCAAAATTACATATTCTATGCAATATATTCTTAAACAAAATAGAGTCTGTAGCATATGATTATATATATGAATGTAAATTTGTTTCATATCTATATAGTTAAACCAAAACACAATAATAAAAAATTTCTTCTTCCACTTGTTATTTTTATTTTATTAATTGTGAGCTCACTTTACCCTAATTTTTCTCCATCTATGAAGCAATCTAATAATCTTTCCATTATGTTTACAGGTTGTCTCATGGCAATATTAGGGGAATATGTAGACAGTGATCTTTTTCGTGCAAATGAAGAAATAGAAAAGACGACGCAAGAGAATCATCTACATGAAGATCAACATTTAGACGACGCAAGAGAATCATTCTCAAACTATATTATTTGGTTGTGCTTTGATTAGAGATGAGACCGTCGAATCCTTCATGTGGGTGTTTCGAACATGGCTTAATGCAATGTTTGGTAAGCATCCTACTTGTATTCTGACAGATCAAGATCCTTCAATGAGGAAAGCAATAAGTGAGGTCCTTCCTAATACGACTCATCGATTTTGTAAGTGGCATATTCTTCGGAAAGCACGCGAGCATCTAGGCATTTTATTTGGTACAAAAGAGAAGTTTCAAGAGGATTTTCTTAGTTGCATCAATTTTAGCTTAACAGTTGAGGATTTTGAGTCAAGTTGGACTACTATGATAGAGAAGCATGGAGTTGAAGATAACACACATCTAAAACATTTGTATCAAATTCGAGATAAGTGAGTGCCATCGTATTTTAGAAATATATTTTGTGCTTTCATGTCTACAACACAAAGAAGCGAGAGTTTCAATGCACTTCTCAAGGGTAGAGTCAATAATCATACAACAATTTATGAGTTTGTCATGCAATATGAAAAGGCTCTAGAAGATCGATATGACGTAGAAGAGGAAGAGGATTTTCGCTCTCTGCAATACAAGCCAAGTTCGTGGTCTCCAAGCCCAATAGAGAGGCATGCACAAAAGATTTATACTAGAGCAATGTTTAGGGTCTTCAAGGATCAACTAAAAGAGATATTTTCATTTTCTCTGAATGAAATGGAGCCTAAAGCATTATACAAACTAGTGCAAGTCCCAAACTCAGACAAACCAAGTGCTAGAAGAAGAACTTATATGGTTACCTTCCAAACCCCTATGACAGTATCTTGCAATTGTAAAATGTTTGAATTTAGTGGAATGGTGTGCTCGCATGTGCTTAAGGTGCTTTTGCATCTTGATATCTTGGAAATACCCTCTGAATATATTTTAAAGAGATGGACAAAGTCAGCTAAGGAAGAAAGTTTTGATACACACCAATGTCTTAGCACTGAATTGTCAAATTCCTCCTCAAAGACTCTAATGTTTAATAGTTTGTCTCGAAAAATAATGAAATTGGTTGCAGAAGGTTCCACGTGTATTGAGTTGTATAATTTAGCAAATAAAAAAAATAGATCAAGTTGTGGGAGAATTAGTAGAGGCAAAAATGCACTTACTAGAGAATAAATTGGGGCATGACGACATGACGCAAATCCAAGGTTCTGCATGTTCTCAAACACAAGAAAGTATTATTGATAATAATTGTATAGTGAGAGCTCCTCCTATTTCAAATTGCAAAGGAAAAAGAAAGATGCAACGTTTCAAGCATCCTTCAGAGTTGAAAGCTAAGAAGCAAAGAACTTGTGGGAAATGTCATGGGAAAGGCCACAATAGTCGAACTTGCAAGGTAAAATTACTTTTTTATTCTCAAATGTGGGACAATGTTCCTATGCAAAATATGATATTTCTAATTTTTTATGAGATTTGTGCAGGCCCAAACAACAAGTCATGTAGGAAGCGTCAATGAGGAAGAAGAGGAAGATTTGGAAGACCAAGAAGAAGAGGATGAAGATGTTGAAGAATACTACTACTAATAACCTATTCTAATCTTTCTTTTGTTTGTCAATTTTCTTTCGAAGCTCTCTGGATATGTGAAGTTACTAGATGGATCATTTTCTTTTGTTTGTCAATTTTTCTAAATTGTTATTTTCTCATTTAGTAGGATCACTAAAATAAAATGTTTTTAGCTACTTTTAATTAAAATATTTTTTCTGTTTAGAAGATCGACTAATAAAGTTCTGTTGTTGTAAGACATTAGAGTACTATTATATTCAATCCTGGAGAAGGAAATAATAAGACAGAGAATGACTCAGTTGATATGTCAAAAGTTTAAGAACAATGTTATTTTTATGATTGCTCCTCTGCAGTGGATGCCAATAGAGGAATATGCAGTCATGTATAAATTCTGAAGTACAAGGAAGTATCAGAAACCATCTTGGGCACAAATTCTGAAGTACAGGGAAGTATGCAGTCCTGTAACCTTCCGCTTGTTGAAGTGGAGTTTCACTTGTTGAAGAGGAGTTGAGAAACCGCTACTTTTAATCACAATACATAAGAATACAAAACAATCACTATACATAGAAATGCCACAAAAATATAATTTCCTCATATGTGAATACATTGCAAGGATGGTGGTTTCTGCAGATAAATATCTCATCGTTAGCAAGGACTTGTTGATAAAGGAAAGGTTTTTCGATCTTGAAGTGAATCGACCAACAAAAAGAAAGTCATCAGCTCACGTATACAAAGAATTACCACAACCCAGCAAAACTACAATGAAACAGAGAGGTAACAAGTCCCATAAGACAGCAAAACTCGCAGCATGCAGACATCGCAAACAGATACCAGAACTAAACACCAGTACTCATGACATATAAAAACTTCTGCTCTGGAGGCAATCACAAAACCCAACAGGCATTTCAGAACTTATTCATCAGTTTCTCAAACTTTAAACCATATCCAAAGAAAAATAAGAAGATATACTTCTAACAAGCATATCTGCATCGTAAGGACTCACAACACAAGAATTCCATAGACACTACAGAATACATGTTTTTAGATATTGTATGACAACGTAAAAGGCCACTCTCATTCATATGTAATGTATATATGGAATCTTAATTTGTAGCGTTTATGAATGCTCTTCCAGGCTGACGATTAGGGAGTGGTCCGTAGCATCAAAGCAGCTACATCACACACCATCGAAAGGATTTATGAGGTCTTTCCCAATGTACAAGAGATTTAGGGGGGGGTCAAAAATGCCAAATAGCAGTGCTATAAATAACATATTGGGTCACAAGTAATGACATTAGATAAGAAACCCAATCAGGTGCAACATTTTTTGCACTTTAAATTGATTAATACAAATATTGCAATTTTGACATTTACCAGATATCGGCATACAACAACAATGACCTTGCTAAATTAACAAGGAAAGTAGACCAATTGGGTACAAAATAATCATGTATATTATCTACAGCCCCGATTCAATCTCGCGGAGGAGGGAGAGAGAACAGAGTCAGCAGCGGGGTTAGGGTCACGAGCGAGAGAGAGAGGGAGTTGGGTTCAAGGCGGAGTTGGTCGGCGGCGGGGTTGGGGTCACGAGCGAGAGAGAGTTTTCTAACCGGCGGCCGAGAGAGAGTTGGTCGGCGACGGGGGTTGGGGTCACGAGCAAGAGAGAGTTGGTAGGCGGCGGTGCCAGGCATCGTGTTCCTCTCCGGCGGTCAGAGCGAGGAACATGCAGAGAGCTGGGTCGAGGGCTTTGGAGAAGGAGAGGATGGTCGAGATCGGGAGTAGGAGGAGAGGATGGTCGAGATCGGGAGTGGGCTCGCCGAAGGGGATGGTCGAGATCGGGAGTAGGATGGTCGAAGGGGGCGATTGTTTGAGAGAAATAGACGTGCCCCCTTTTAAGATTCAGATTTTTTTTAGCTACAGAATCATTATAACTTGATTTCCTATTTTGTGTGGATTTGCTTAGACGAAAATACCCCTCCTGCAATTAATTCATGCCATCTCATCTTGATTAGATCTTAATCTAAATTTTTAATCCAACGATTATAAACTTTGGTGGACAAGGGCTCTTATCAACTTAAGTTGACAAGAGTTTTTCTCTCTCTCTCTCTCTCTATATATATATATATATACAAAGAAACCAATATAATGTGTGTGTATATATAATTGAGCTTAAAGTACTAACACACATAACATAAACCTAAACTAATGTTACCCAAACTTGATATTGATCTTCAATAAGCTTGACTTGGTACACATTGCGGGTGAAGCTAGAACTTGAATCTTCAACTTGAATTGCATAGACTTTACCCACTATTATGCCAACCTCCATTGGATATGATCGTTGAAGCACAATTCCATTCATCCTCCAACATGTTGTTTGTCTACAATTGATACAAAAACATAAACACTAGACAAACAACATTAGAAGTAAATTGTTTGTAAATCATCATCAAAACAAGAAGACCAACACAAATGAATTTTTTTCTAACATCAAAAGAAGTCTAAAAAAATTATAGGAAGCCAAATAGCCTGTGTTACTATTTGCCAGATAGATTCCTTCAGTGATTTTAAACGAGTCAAAAAAGTTCAATGAGGGGGTGTACTCGCACATGAACAAATATTATGAGGGTCTATCACACAAATAGAACTATAAATGGACTATTCGCAATTGGGCGATAGTACAAAGGACATTTTCACAAGTAACTGATAAATCTATGTATTGTCATTTTCACAAGTAACTGATAAATCTATGTATTGACTCTATAATATCAAATTTGATGGATACATAAAATAAAATAAACAGATTAATTTAACATTTAAAAACATAGTTTATTATGAACAAGGAAACCTTATTGTATTTTCACGCATTAAGTGTAGGAGTATACAAATTTACTAACTAAAAACTATAGAAATTGCCAAATTCTAGCAACGTTGATCATTAAAAAATAAAAAAAAATAAAAATATAAACCTTTTGTAATGCTTCACGAAAAGACAAATTTATAAAATAACATAGCGTACGTACTTGGTACGTGAGCATACCTGTTTTATTGTTTTTTAAAAGTTTTTTGTTGGCTACAAAATACTAAAATGACTTGTATAACAATATAAATTCTGAACAATTACAATTTTTTAAATGAATAAATTACGATAAAATTGTATATAAATAATTGTATGATTAATTATTATAGTTTGGATAATTATTATAATTTATTCATAGTTTATTTAAATAATTATAATATATTAAATAATCTTTTAAATATAATAATATTATGCATAACATAATTATAATACTATTAGTAACTACATTTTATTACACTACTAGTAAATAATTTACTAAGTTGTATAATTATTAAATTACAATGCAATATATTAATTGAAAAATACTATTAAAATCACTATTCTATTAATACTATTACAATTACAATAAATATAAATTGCTTTTCATACTATTATCATACTTTTAAAAGGATGATACGATGAAAGGTAACAGATAGTCCTTCATGAGACTAAGACGTGAAACACAAAGTCGTAAGACATAAGCATAATAATTTTTTATTATTTTAAATTTTTTTAAAATTTTAAATATCATGTGAAGATAAATTAGGGATAAATTTCAAATATTCATTAAATAACATAATTAAATAATAAAATAATTGTGCGACTAAATGTTTTGGTAAAAAATAAGGAAATACATAATTAATAAGAGGTTATATATAATTAATGAAAAATTAATTATAACTAATAACATATTTGAGATTATCAAATTTAAAAGATCATAAATAGAAATTAAAAGTTTTGACGAGGCAATCTCATTTTACATGACGTTTAGATAGAAGTAAGATATAGATATAGATTAGAGGAACAGAGGTCTACATGTAAACTACTCACCCCCAATTCGCACGCTGCGTGATTACGTGCTACTCCCGCCGCCAACAAGGCTAGTCCAAAATGGCCTTTTCAAAACCCGACCCGCTTTCTCTTTCTTAGATCCGCTTTCTCCTCAAGCCCCTTCTCCCCTCTTCATCTCTCTCTCTCTCTCTCTCATCTCGAAGCTAGGGTTTCCAATCCAAATCGAGGAAGAAAAAGAAGAAAGGGAGAAGAGTTAGGGTTTCACAGCTACCCGATCGATGGCGATGCAAGCTGGGATGGGACTCTCTCGGATCCTCCTCTTGGTTGGAGCTGGTAAGCGAGCCCCACTTTTAGTCGATTTTGGGATTTTGCGATGGATTTTATTTTTTTAATATTTTTGTGTGTGGGTATTTTAGGGTATACTGGTACGATCGTTCTGAGGAACGGGAGGCTGTCCGAGATCTTGGACGAGCTTCAGGTGCGGCGTCCATTGATTGTTGTGAAGATGGAATTTTGAGCTTAAACTTTGTGATTTGTTACTGTTTGAGATTGTGATTTGTGTAATTTTTGTAATTTGCAGGGTCTGGTTAAGGGTTTGGAGAAATCTAAGGGGGAGTCTGGAGGTGACTCCGACGTTGCTGATGCCCTCACTTTGCAGGTAATCAGAACTTTAATTTTATTTTTTTTATTTTGAGCATCTTAGCGTACTTTGCTGAATTAAGAATTGTTAAGAAATAAAAATGTGAACTGTGTATAAAATTATCCAGTATTACATCTTTGCAACTAACTAAAATATAACTTATTGTGTATTTTAGTGAACTTTGCTAACTTAGGAGTTAAGAAAGAAAAATATTAATTGGGTATAGAATTGAAAAAGAACAATTACTTGTTCCCTGCCTGTCATCAGCTGTAATGCTGTATATTGGATGCGAGGATAGGTTTTGTATTAACATCCCATATTAGGTCTTTTTATATATTTAAGTTTAGTGAGTTATTAACTTGATGAAAAATACAGTAATACTTAGCACCTTTTTATATAAACTTTCATGAATTATCATGAGCTTGAGTTGCTCCTTTGTGATCATCTAGGTCCGTCGGCTGGCCATGGAGGTCCGTCAACTTGCCTCCGCACGTCCAATAACCGTTGTCAATGGTTCTGGCCAGGGAGGTAAGGTGACAATGCTGTATCTTCTGTGTATTTTCTATAATTTGAAGATGATGGACATTTGCTAGCTTTTTTCTAAATAACCATGTCCTTAATTGGGAAGATATCTTAATAAATTATAGAGGACATTGGCTATTGCATTGCAGATTTTGCTTATTGCTTGTATTGCCATCTTTTGTTATTTGTTTGTTGAAATAGTTTTTTGCAGGCAATCCAGTAATTAACGCAATAATTTTTTTGTTCATTTTGAGTACTTAGAGCATATTTGTCTCCTCGCTTATTTTAACTTATAAGTGAGTTTCTCCTTATAAGCATCTAATATTATGTTTGATGAGTGCTACTTATTTACTTTTTATTTATTTTTTTACTTGTAAGTTATAAGTAGAAAAAATAAGTTGGGATTTGCCAACTTATTTTTTTGGCACTTTTAAGTAAGTTAACTTATTGCTGTTAAAAGACTACTTTGTCCTTTAACAAAGTAAGTAAAAATAAGTAATAAGTAACTTATAAGGTTTTACAAAATAAATATTAGCCAAACATGCCCTTAACATATGCTGGATTGCAAGTGTCAAGCCTTTGGACTATTTTGAAAGATTGAAACTTTTCTTTTTTTGGCTTCTACCAGGGAACGTGTCAAATCTTCTAGTGCCAGCTGCAGCTGCGGGTGCAATAGGCTATGGATTAATGTGGTGGAAAGTAAGTCACATCACAATTGCTAATTTGCATTTAACAATATCAAATGCACCTGCTGTTTTTTGCTTGTGTGCTTTTGTACTTAATTTCTATTCTTCCTTATGAAATAATTGTTAGATATTTTATTTTTGGGAATTTATTTTATGTGACTATCTGATTTCTTTCTATATCTAAAATCGCTTCTGTTTTTTTGTAATATTTCATAGTTTATATGTGAAGGATTTTATTTGCGACCTTTACACAGGGAATAGTGGTCATTTTTTGCCTTTCATCGGCATTAAAATGAAAAGTGAACTTGTATGTTTGATGCCTAAAGTAGTTAATGTCATGTATGGACCTTACAATTTTTTGGTGTCTCTTGTGATATTAATGACTTGTTTGACTCATCTTTTCTGATCCTTTAGGCTTAGTTAGCACATTTGTGGTTTACTGACCTCTTGTTTTAAATAATTTTCAGGGGTATTCTTTCTCTGACCTCATGTATGTGACCAAGAAAAACATGGCTAATGCTGTTTCAAGCATGACAAAACAGCTGGATCAAGTGTCTGCTGCCCTTGCGGTAACATCCAATTTTCCATATTTTTCTTCTTTCATGTACTGGTCACAGAAAACTAGCATGTTCTCACATCTTCGAGTGGTGATAGCATGTATGATGATTTTAAACGTATTACCTCATCTGTTATACAAAACTTGTGGAAAGCTAAGATCCATGCATTTTTTTCATTGTTAGCTCAAGTTGTTTTTGTGAAAAATTCCTAGTAGGAAAAGGTGGGAATGCTGTTTAAAAGTTTGAATACTTCAGCGAGAATAAAGTTTGGGAGTTAAAAGTATACATTCTTGAATATATGCACATGTTTATTCGAGCTTATACTCAATTATGTACCATTTGTTCTAATTTAAAACACTCCTCATACACTTCTTGGACTTGTATTCTACACCACATCTATTTTTAATATATTGATCTGATGTAAATGAAAAAATAATATTGATCTTATGTAAATTATTAATTTTAATAGATAAATATACGTATATATAGCCGTCTCCTTGTACCTACTTTTTACAAATTTGCAGTGTCCAGACCACCACCCACAAATAAGTAGTTTCCCGTTAGTACAACAAGCTGGATAACTTGATCAACAAGTGTCCCAACAAATAATTTTACCCACAACAACATGTTGCAAGGATGACAATGAATGGTATAATGATCCAGTTGAAATTTTCATGGTATGTTCTTGTAACTTCCAAGACAATTTCCCGTCATGCCATGGCATATGACTCAACCCTCCTCTCTCCCCCCACAAACAAAAAAACCACTCCAAAAAAATACACGTAAAACCAAGAAAAGAAACAAAAAAGAACAAATAGTAATAATAATATCAATAGAGCATTGTAGGCATAAGTTTGTACACAAATGCTGAAATGCATATCACACATCTTATATTTGTATGCATTGATTGCTGCAGGAGGTGCAAGGAAATACATGTAAGTAATGTTGCAATGGAATAGATCTTAGACGGAAACTATGAGGTAGGGTACAAACTGTCATTCTAATATATGGGGTAGCAAGTCGCGACAAACAACCAAGAAGGAATAACTGTCAAGTAAACCAAGAAAGCATAGGTGATGAATACATAACAGGCTTATCCAATTGTTACAAAGTACTGATGGACTTCCAGAGAGCTCACAGGACTTCTACTGTTAATACATATCTCATTACTTCATAAGTCTGAAAAATCCTATTCATTCATTTTTAGAGCCATCCTTTTGTAAGATTCAGTTGTAATTATTGTAGTAGCCGTGCTTTATTACATTTAATATTATATAAAATTGTCATTATATGTAGATATGGTGTCCATAAATCTACTATTTGTTTTTTTATCAGGCAGCGAAGAGACACTTGACCCAGCGAATTGAGAACTTGGATGGGAAACTGGATGAGCACAAGGTGTTATCGACGGAAATTAAAAATGAGGTAATGCTTTCATGAACCTCTCACTACAAGGTTAGCTTTTAGGCTGGCAGTAAGTATATAGTTCAGTTGGTGCTTGAAATTTGATGACGTTATATAATGGCTGATTTGTAGTCTCTTAAGAATCCCTTTCTTCGCCTGCTTTTATGTTTTACTTTATCTCTTTATGGTTGTGGTTTTGGGTACAAATGATTTTGGTAAATCCTGTTAAATGTCTAGGGATATAGTTGAATGAGGGAACTGGCTATTGTATATAAGTAAAAACTAGAGTATACTATAGTCTGTTGTGAATTTATACCAAATCTACTTCATTCTGGCAAGCAGGTATCAGATGTTCGTGGTAAAATCTCAAATATTGGTTATGATCTGGAGTCTCTCAAAGGAATTGTTTGGGGTCTGGTGAGTATTCTTCTAATAATATTTTGGACTATAATTGTTTATTAGTTTGGTACTTCCTGATGGTTTGTTCTTCTGACTGCAGGATGGGAAGATGAGTTCACTTGAAAATAAGCAGGTATGCTCATAACTTATTCCAAATAAAGCTGGTTAAGCTAGATCTGTGTCATAGATCATTTAGACTTGAAGAGTTACTTGTTTTTTTGCATCTTTCTTTCACGTTGTTAGCCAAATGTCTTAGCATGATATACCAAATTGTCGGTCTATATATATTTTCTATAATCAAGTATTATTTGCTGTTGTATATCATTTCTTTGCTGGTTTATTTCGTCTGACAAAATTTTGCTGACAGAATTTTGCATGTGCTGGAGTGATGTACCTTTGTGAATTTGTTGCGGACAAAGAAAACAAGATGCCAGAATTTTTGAAGGTTTGACTTCTATTAATGCTAGTATACTTTTCTTCATTTTGATTCAAATTGCTGTCATCAGATTGTTCCACAACTTCTTCCAGAGTTTTTTTTACCATAAATTGGTCTATAACTTGTGCTTATACGATTAACTTTTATCGAAGCAAGTTACTAAAATGTTCCAGTTTTATGAGGTTGCCCGCATCTGCAGACAATGCTGCCATCAGTTCATAATCCTTTAAACATATAATACAATAACCTTCACAGGATTGAAGGATGAAATCTAAATGGGAGTGACATCATAAGTTAACAGAACATTGGATGGATGGAATTAATCGTTGCCAGATTAGACAAGAGAGAGGGGAGACCACATTAAATTGTTGAGGTTACCTTTAACAATTAGAATTTTATGTTCTTTAAATGGATCAACATCACTTTCTTCTCTCTCACGTGTCTGTGTGTCTGAACTTGTTTTTTCCTCTTTATGTTCTCAGCCCCCACAGATGTTTATAAAGTGCTTCAGACTTATTTGAGGAATATGTCAATACCACTTAGTTTTGTTTTTCATGTCATGAAGGATAATAAAAATTTTATAACAAGCAAAAGTACCAGGTAGTCTTAAATTACTTCATTACGTTATATCTTCACTTCCTTTCAGCTCTAGTGTTCTACTGGTTCAATCCTGCAATTATCAGTCGAGATATGTGGTGAAATACTGTGTGTCGTAACTTACACTGTGACCATATATTGAGTATGCTGTTAGCTGGTACCTGATAAAACAACATATTATCTGGGAAATATGGTAATTCCAAAATTTTCTGCACGTATTTAGACCTAGTGGTATTTTTTAGGGGATTCTATCTACCAAATCGGTTACTGTTGGTTTGTGAAGTTACTTTGCCATCCCACGACTTGCAGACCTTAAAACTCTTATGTCCTAACCTACATGGGGCTACAAGGTGCACCTCAAAGGACAATTTGTTAATTTTCATATTTGCTCACATTAAAAGAAAACTGAGGTGCATTCTAGGAGAGCCAATCATTTGTTTAATAGCTTTCTGATTAGCATCTCTATTTTGTTCCTTTAATTTTTGGACTTTTTTGTATTTATCTTCCTATGTTCCTTTAGTTTTTGGACTTATTTGTATTTATCTTGTTCATTTCAATTGGCCAAGTTCTTGTAGTTTAGATTAAGAACATCTTGAAATACTAAAGTCTTCCTCAATTACTGTTGGATTTGATATTCATGGATCTTTCAATTGCCTAGCATTGAGATAATGGTAGGTAGTTCTCATGTGTTCTTAATTGTGGATACGAAATCTCTTGGTGTTAGCATTAGTGAGTGTTCATATTATCAGTGCACCATATGATATCGGAACCTCATGATGCATGACCAAGTTGTATATTAGTGAAGGCTGTTTCTGTGAGCACCATCAAATTTAGTCTCTTAGGGCTTTGCAAGTGGCCTACAGTGAGAGTCCCATGCACGCTTGCCCATGGCTTTCCCTTGACAATAGAAGTAAAGAGGCAGGATTATGTAAGTTTTGGACTTCACCATGTTTTTTCAAGGAATAAAAGTGTCAGCTACTTCAGTTGAAAAAAAATACTCATCCTTCAAATTCCGTGATAGAAAATGACAAAGCAAAACTCAACTGTCGTTTTCCTTCTCTTCTTTTCCCTCTCCCTTCAAGGTTAACTGATTGGCAAGACACGATTTAAAACTATCATGCTCTCTGCTTGAGGGAGCTGTGGATTATGTCGAAGACATATAGGAGATCTGCGAGATGCACTGAAGAAAGTCTTTATCACAACAGTGAATCCATATATAACTATTGAAATTTAAAATAGAATGATTGGACAGCCAGACTCTTGGAAACCAATACTTCCTGATTGCACAGCCTGTTGAGACATTATTTGAGCAATGATGAATTTGACCTTTACTCTGCCAAGCTATATGTTAATTTGTTATTTTCTTTGCAATATACTGTTTTACTCTATTTCTTGGTTGTTAATGTATACATACTTTCTTTACTTCTCAGTTACTGTCAAGTTCTCGTCAAGGCTAAGACTTCGAATTGTAGCTTAATCTCCTATCACCACAAATTTTTTGGATCTTTCTTGAGCGTAAGGCAAGATATGATCTTACTAGCTGGCTGACAGTTTTCTTATCATACGTTGCAGGATGCACCCAAGCCTAAGCGCCATTTCCTGGGATATAAGGAGGTGATCTCTCTTTTGCCTTATTTGTTATTTCTTATCATCTTAGGTATCCCGGATCTCAATGGTTCTTTTTTACTTCTGTCTTGCTTTTGTCATATATCGACCATGTATGCAATATATTATAGACCAGTATGAACTCATCTACTTCTTGAAATGCGAACCGTACTGTAGACAATCAAATGTGGACAACCCACAAAAGATGATTATTGGATTTGACTACCTTGTTGCATCTCTGGTCTTATTGTATCTATGTAGGGTCTAAAGCAATTTATGAAAACTAAATCAATTTGATTACCTTGTTGCTAAGGGTTTTTCTTGTATCCATGCAGGGTCTAAAGCAATTTATGGAAACTATTGAATCAGGAAATTTCGACCAGACCCAGACAGAAGCGAACCTCCCCAATGACACCAATGCCTTGGATAATTTCAAGGGCTTGTCTAGGTACCAACCAACCTCCTTTTTATGAGAAATCCAATTTAAACGCTTTGGGCCCTTCCCAAGTGCTAGTAATGCCAGTAGGTGATAGGTAGTATCGCGGATAACAATTTCCGTTTTCAAACTTTTAGCACCTTATAACTATTTTCCTTTTGCTTAAATTTATTTTTGTTTTGCAGGACTGCTTCGATCAAGTGCTTATGAGAATGTATGTATAGAGAAGCATACTTTTTACTTGTGAAGTGAAATAAATGTAGAAATGGCCATTCCATGAGCCTCTTGTTCATTTTTGTGAAGGAGAGGTGCTATGAGAGCAGATTTTATCCTGTATAGGATTGTATGAGTTGGTGGTATTTGATTACTGTTTGACTTTCTTCAGATTGCTACGGAGCTGTACTGTCGCTCCTTTTATATGTAAAAAATTGTTCTGCGGTTTGAGGAACTTAAAATCTTTTTAGCTTCAATTGTAACGTTACTTTCATGCTGCAAATTAACAACTTCTCGTATACCATTATTTGGATTGTAAAACTAAATTATTCTGTGAGTTTCGCTGGATACGTTGCGGTGATATTTGACTATACCCGTGTGTTTTATTGAATCGCATCTACACGTTCCGAGCGTAAGAATTGATTGCTGTCCTTGTCAAGTATTAAACGGGTACAGGACTAATAGTGTTTTATCGGTCAGTTCGTGTTTAGAATTCACTAGTATATTTTTCTTCGTGTATTATTACATGCGGAAAAGGTAACTGAAATTTTTATTTGGAAACCCTGCAATAAAAGACTGAAAACTTGAATTTTCAAACGACCAATCTAACTCAGAAAGAGGTCGGAGGCTAAATAATCTCAGGTAGGATCCCAAGCTATAGTCTGAACTCTAAAGTCCAAATTATTTGAACCATAACAAAAAGGGTTGGGAGCGAGGTTATATGACGTAGAACGTCTTGACGAATACATCTCATGTATTATTCGCAACGCCCTAAAAATGAAAGGTGAGAATCCTATCAAAACGTCATTGTCTGAACCACACGTAAAGTGTTCAAAATAACTCCACGTATTGATAAGTTCATAACGTCTCGCGCCGTGCGGAGCGTTCTCGTAGGAATTGTACTAAAAAATAACAGAGTCAAAACACCTACCTAGGAACACATTTGCAATTTGGTTGTAGCACAGGGGGCTAGCCTGCAACAGTAGACCCACAAGGGGTCGTCTAGCTGCAACAGGGTGACAATGCAAGAGGTCAATTCACTGTTAACCCTCTGTAATATCATGAGTTTTTTCTGTTAAATATAAAAAAGAGGGATCATAAAAAAATGTTTAAAAATATTGACGTTCGGACGGAAACTACAATAACGCCATCGCCGTTTCGGACGAAGAAGATAAAACCTCTCTAAAACCCTTCGCTGTCCCCTTCCGAATACAAAGAGGGGTAAGAGAGTGAGAACTCAAGAGGCGGGGGTAAAAAAAAAAAAAAAAGAAAGAAAGAAAGAAAGAAAAAAATGGAGCTCCTCCTAAATTTCTCACTAACTCCCTCTCCTCTTCTCCCTTCGTCATCTCCTCCTCCCAAAACCCAATTATCCCCCAAAACCCTAATAACCCTACAAAACCCTAGACCCACCAAACCATCTCCTCCTCCCAAAACCCAATTATCCCCCAAAACCCTAATAACCCTACAAAACCCTAGACCCACCAAACCCCGCCTCCCAATCTCCTGCCGCAGCTCCAACTACTTCGACCAGCAGCGGTTCTCCCCCACGGCGCCGCCCTCTCAACCCCCCGCAGGTTCACCCTAACCTAAGCTTAATTAAACTCCTCCGGCGGAGCATTTGAACCCTCACTTCCTCTTATTTTGGCTGCAGGTTCGGTTTCTAGGGTTTTCGTTGGGTACTCGATCTACAAAGGGAAGGCGGCGCTCACCGTGGAGCCGAGAGCGCCTGAATTCGCTCCCTTGGATGTAGGGTTTGGATCTTTAGCTTGCGATTTTGGTTAATTTGTTGAAATTCTAGTTTTTTTATTATGAATTCAGCTAATTTTAGATAACTTTCAGTCAGGAGCGTATAAGGTGTCGAAGGAAGGTTTTGTTCTGCTTCAGTTTGCGCCAGCTGTGGCTGCACGGCAGTATGATTGGAGCCGGAAGCAGGTTTCTTTTTCCCGATGATTTCTTGTTTGTTTCCTGGGTTTTTAGTGGTAGAATTGGTTGCGAGTAGTTATAGATATTAATGCGATAATTTTTCACGATTTCCATGTGAATTTTCTGATGGCTGATCTTTGAAGATCTGTGGGTGTGATTCTAGATTACACTGCCAAGTGAATAATGCGATCTATACGATTGATTGGTTTCAGATTTTGGTGACTCTTGCCACTGTTTCAATATGCAAGCAATATGCATCACGAATATTATCAATTTTATTGATGCTATTCTTCCAAACTGCATTTTTTGGGTGTTTTATTTATTTATTTATTATTATTATTTATTTTTTTTGTGGGGGGGGGGGGGGGGGGGGGAGATAATTGTTTGATAAATGATGCCCCAGTGGCCCCAATTATCATTGGTCCTTTCAGCTGTGTGAATTTAAGTGTTGTTTCATTGTGGGCTTGAATTCATGGGCTTGATTGCAGAAACAGATTTCCTGCAAGGGAACCTCATGAATTGGGTTAACTTCTACATTAGACGGTGTTTCTTTGTGTTCTTCTTCTTCTTTTGTGTGCACATTAGATCTGTAGATGAATATTGATTCTATAAAATGTACACTGTATTCACGAGTTCTTAATAAATTGCAATGCTTCCTCATTTCTAGAAATATTATTAAAGTGTATAGCGCATCTCATTTACTTTAAACTTTCCTATATTTTTGGAGGGTTTACGAGTGATTTCTAAAACATGCACATGGTTAGTAATTACACTTATGACATTTGGCATAGGTCTTTTCTCTATCTGTGACGGAGATTGGAACTTTGATGAGCCTTGGCGCAAAGGACTCATGCGAGTTTTTTCACGATCCATTTAAAGGGAGGAGGTATACTGTTTCACATATTGTAGCATTTTAAATATTATGCCAGTCGTCAGTTTAGTGTTCATACTCTAATAGTGATTTATGAATAGATACATGCACATGTTGAGGAAAGATAAACACAGCTATGATCTCATGCTAGCATGTTTTGATATTTTATTGCTTTGTCTCATGTCTGCTAAAGTTACTTGAAATCTAAATAAAAGAGCTGTTGAGGTATGATTGATTTTGCTTTGGCTTTATTTAAAATTTTGAGTGATTTATTTGAGGATTCGAGGGATATGGTTAAGAAAGGGAGTCTTAGCTAGGAAGGAATTAAATTGATCTCATAGTCTAAATTTATTTGGGAATCTTTCGGCGAGTTTCTTGATTTTCTGATCAGGATTACAAAGAATTCAGTCGTTATGCTATGATTAAGGGCCTGCTCCCCTTGTGCATGTGATTCAGCAAGAGGAGATAATAGAAAATAAAACAATGAGTGGAGATATTGCTAACATGATTGTATATCTTTACTCTCTTGAAATCTTTTAGGTGTTCCCTAGTGGATATAAGCATTGCCAAAATGACCAAAAAGCTTGATGCACAATTTCTACTTTCTTGCTTCTTTGTTGGTGTGGTATAATTTCTTATAGTATGTAGAATTAATTAAGATCCAGCCCTTGGATGTTTCTGTCCGCTGCAAAGTTAAGTATGCTAATAGATGGGAATTTTCTTCTTTAAAGTAATCTTCATCGCTAACATTTTACTTAAAATAGTTGCAAACATGAGCCCCTTTAAAATGTTTGTTTGTTGGTCATGGTCATTTTTTATGACTAAAAATTTACATGTTTAATTATCATCAGCCTTTTTTTGTAGTTATTTGTTATCACTCTTTGAATGGAGTGTTACTTGTTGATCCATGCAGTGATGAAGGAAAGGTTAGGAAGCTCCTGAAGGCAGAACCTCTTCCTGATGGCACAGGGCATTTCTTTAATCTCAGTAATTCTCCATTACTCAAATACTTTAGATTGGTACCTACTCCTGTAAATAGGAAATGTTTAATCTTAGTGGTTTATTATTCTTTTTTTCCCCTTGTGATATCTGGTGATTCACATGCCTGGATACTTGGTGGCAGATAAATTTTACACACTAGGTTCTGCACTTTATGAAAAATCTAAATCTATGGTTTTGCATTTGTTATGCTTATAATTTCATGCGAAGAGAGACGTCAGCTAAAAAATTGTACTGGCATGTATCTTCTAAAATAGTCTTGAGAATGCACGATTATGGATTAAATTAAATTACACCCTAAGTGTTTGTATTCAAGTTTCCTTTTGTTTTATGATAATACCTGGGTGAATATATTATACTGTCACTGTGTTATTAATGTACTTACTATTGTAGGTGTTCAGAACCGCCTCCTAAATGTGGATGAAAGCATCTATATTCCTATATCGAAAGCAGAGTTTGCTGTGATGAACTCGACCTTCAATGTATGAAACATTTCTTCTGTATTCTTGTTTCGCTTATCGTTACTGACATTTGGTAATATAGGTGTTTATATTAAAAAATGCTAAACGTAGTACAAGTACTTTATCATGGAAAATTTCCTGAGCTTTGCCTTTTGCCCATTGTATGTATATATGCAATAAATAGGAATCATACCAGATCATGTAAATTTTGATAGGCTTCAAATTTTGCCTATTGCATGTCTGTATGCCACACATAATAATCATGGTCGATATAGTCAATGTTAATTATTAACTCAAATATGAAGGATATGATTTACTACAACTCAACAAATATGGAAATTGTAAAAGCTAGTTGAATATGATCATAGTGAAATATCAATATATTTTTTCTTTGACTTAATGCGCAATATAAGGAACAATAAAAAAAATCCGTGATTGGTGCCAAAAACCAAAATTGAGCAAAGTTATCAGCCTACTGAATCTGGAATTATTTGCTGTTCACATGTAATATACTTTTATCTTAGAAGCTTGGGTTTTACCAGAACTGAAGTTACTGCCTGGTTAGAGTATTATATTTTTCATATTGGATGGTAATTATGGCGGGAATGGGATATATATTGCGCTACCTAAGATTAATCACTTGCATGTCAAACTTACTTGAAACTTACCATGTAATCTGAGATACAACAACCTAATATCCTATTCATGGAGAGAAACTTGGTATTTCTGGTATACAGTATCATTTGGGCTTACACTTCTGCGATCATGTCTTTCATTATTGCAGACTGCTCTTACGTTTTATAAATTACTATGATTATAATGTTATTTCTTTTTGCTGTTCACGTCTTTCATTATTGTAGATTGCTCTTACATTTTATAAATTACTATGATTATAATGTTATATTCTTTTTGCTGTTGCTTCAGTTTATTTTGCCACATCTTCTGGGTTGGCAAGCTTTTGCAAACACTATAAAACCTGAGGACTCCATGCGTTCAAGCAACACCACCTCAGCATCTGGGGCTGAGTTGGAATGGGGCAGATGAATTATCTATCAGTATCAAGACGAATGAAGGAAATCAAACAAGGTTAACCACATCCATTCACTCGGGTCTCGTGATCCTCATGTTTTTTTTTTCTGCAAATGAATGTCGACCACCATTTTCTAATTTTGTGCTCGCCCTCAGGATGAATTTCTTTTTTTTTTTCCTTTTTTTTGTTGAGATGGTGAATGTGTAATTAGTTTGCTTGTGTAGGTGATTAGAACTTTTCTTCTTGTAGCCTCGATGCTTGTAGGTGACTGTGTTTCTAGTTCAGAGGAAAACTTGTTCCTGTTTGCTGATTGTTATTGTTTTTTGGTTCTCCTATCCTATACGTCCAATATTACTAGGCTTTCTCTCGTAGTCAAGTTGTTTTGGTATGTATGAAGTAGGATGGGTGAAGCGTTCATATTTAAAGAGTACAAGTTTTTTGAAAGTCTTTCAACAAGAACGGGCACAGCGAATTTAGATAAGATTCATAGTAGAAAGAGGAACATAAAATCTTAGATCTCAACCCTGCATTCAAAAGGTAAAATCCCTCTCTAGACCTCCTTAAATAACTCAATTATATAGCGTGGTACTCGTAAAACCCAAAATAAAACCCATCGCGAGAAATGACGAAGTCTAATAAATAAAGCATGGTGAAACTATAGAACCTGTCATAGCAAATGCGCTTCTAATTTGTAATGATATTCTTTTAAATGCATAACGGCCATGAGTAATATCCCAACATGGTAAAGCTATTGAATCTACCCTAGAAAAAGCTCTCCTAGTTCTTCTTCTATTGTCGTTTCCAGACGTTTCGCCGCAAGGGATGACACTGATCCTGAACGATTGAATCACTGTCGCCAGCTTTCACAAAAGTGTCGAAGCTTACACGCTAACAAGGGCATAAAACCTTTGGATCAACCAGTATCAGTATCACATGCTTGAATCAGAACTGAGAAATTCAATTAGCATAGTTTTCTTTTTGAGAAATTGCTTGCAAGCTTACGTCATGTAAACTTCAATGAAGATATCACATACCTGATAGTTCTCTACCAATTTCTATCAACGTTACGGAAGATTTTTCTTGCCTGGCAGGTCTTCTTATTGATGAATTCGACAAGTTCCTTACCTTTCTTTAACAACCTGATAGAATCAAGTCCTGTCTGAAAGCGGCACTGTGAGCTACGGAGTGCAAAGTGCAACATGAACCTCGAAAAAACAATACATGCATAATCAGCAATACTTTCAAACGGAAACACCCACTACTTCAACGACACCAGATTCGTGACTCGATATAAATCCATCTTACCCTGCCAAAAAAAAGACTCATGGGTAGACTAAATGTATAATCACTTGTAGACATGGATGGGCACCACGATGGCTGTTAACACATACACATGACAGCAAAAAATTGACATGCACCCCACCAAAGCTCTATTATAAATCAAATAAACACATTAACACTTCAATATTGACCAAAATAAATAACACTTAAAATCAATAATGCATGTCTATGATTTACCTAGCAATCGGTTGTGAAAGAATAATAGCATGGTCTTGTTTTTCCTAATCTACAACTTCAAGATGAACAAATACCAACACTTGCCCAATTTCCTACTAAAAAAACTAGCGCCAGCGCATGATGACCGAAGATGAAGGATGAGAAAGCACATTCTGGTTCATATCCTATGAGATTGGAAATTCAGATTTTATTCATGTCAGAATCATATCGGCACTGACCTGGGCAAAAGATGAAGCGGAAGGAGGATGAGAGTTTAAAAGATTAAACATTAAAAGATTAGTGGCGGGGAGAAATGGTGGATAAGAACAGTAACTAAGAGCAGAGGGAATAAGGAAGTAGACTGCAGTTTTGAAATTAATATTCAGCAAATTCCCACTTCGTACCAACTCAATGCTGTTGTAAAGATGGTTGTTATGCATATTTCAAGATTGACAGGTTGAAATTGCCTGTAGAAAAAAGGAATGTTTCAATTTGGATAATAAGTTGAACCATGATACGAACAATCGCCATGAATATTTTGTATGCGTTCCTCTAGAATTTAGAATGAGCATCTGAAACACAAATATTCTCGAATTTAGAATGAGCATCTGAAACACAAATATAAAATGTAGGTGCGCATGTAAAACCTAATGGATAAAATTTCTGCACATAATTCATAAAATGTGTAGAATACGTTGAGGTAAGATAAAGCCGCGGAAAAAGCTTTTTTCGTTTTCGCGGAATAAGTACCTTCATCAAATGGAGCACCCCTCATCAGCTCCTTGACCAGAGAACATACCTCTTCAAATTGAAGCATCATACGCTGCATCTCTAATTTTGTTTGGTAAATTACCAAGTTCCTGCCATCTATTTCATCAAATGGAAGAAACTATGACAAGATCAATATTTTTAATAGTCACAAATAATCCGATGGGAAAGTCGTTAAATTTCTTAGCAACTCGATGAGAAGAAAAATGGTTCCACGAAAAGGAAAAACAACAGTCTTTTTATGAATGCATTATGGATTTTCTTGGAAAATATATTAAGGCTACATTGCAAGCCAGCACAATTCATCCACAGATCAAGACAAAGGAGAGTCGGATTATTCCATACAGACAGTATTTTTTGTGTAAATTCAAGTATTTTCAAATACATCTCAAGCTGCCTAGTTGGGCAAAAAGTTGGGCAAAAGTGAGCAGTTCCTATGGTATAAAAAAGAAAGCCAACTGCACCCAATAATAAATAAGTTCATTTCCACACGTCTAACAAAAGCAGATATAAACTTAAGCTCCCATCTCGGACTGAAACTTGCATCTTCCGAGTTTGAAAAATCTTTCATTAGAGGAAAACGCACTTCACAATCTCAAGGGGAATCAAAACCTCTTCCTTTTGCTTTTGAAAATCCTATCTTTCTTTGCATAAATATAGATGAAACCAAACACAAAAACCGCAGTTAAAGAAACCGATGCCCATGGGAAAGGTGGGTCCTTGAAACAAATCAGGGACGCCTCCAAATTCTGAGTAGCCTCATAAACCAAGGTATGAAGAGCATAAAGATCATGATCCGAAGACCTCAAGTAAAACATCGCCTTCTCGTAATCCAAATGGGACATCGCTGATACCACCTTCTCCAACTTAAATTTCAACAGATTCCACCTCTGCACAAATTCCACGTGCCGATTCTTCTGAAGAAGCTTTCTATCCCCTCCATGTTGGGCCATGGATTCTAATATATCAGCGGTGCTTAAAATTGTATAATTCAAAGAAGTAAGCAAAACATTCCTTCGAGCCGCATCTCTCTGAACAAATGAAAGGGATGAAGACTCAGAAAATGGTCCAAAAGGGGTTTGCCCTACGCTCCAAGTGTAGTCAACCAAAGTACTATTATGCTGTGGGCTCCAAGAAAGGTGAGTCGGCGACACACCCCACATACTCTGAAGGATTGAACCAATAATTGGACGATCAAGATTCCGGGTTTGAGTAATCACATGTCGTCCATTGCAGCTATAATCACTGACCGTCTGTGAAACCCTAGTTCTAACAGCGATCACCATGTCCGTAAAAGCAACCGCTTGATGATACCTATCGAGCATAAGAAGCTTTTCATGATCCAAATCAAACACATACACTGGAAGCACTCTACCAAACTCCTCATCACCAATCCCTGCAACCCTACGAATCTCATCCACCGAGTCCGAAAGAATATGATGCAGCTGTTTCGAATCCAAATACTCGCTCACGATCAATGTATAATTCTCAAACAAGAACCTTGATGTAAAAGAGTTCATGGACTTGGCAATTGCATATGAACAAATTGCACATTCATGGAAATTCACACTAAAGCTCCTAACTTTCAACTCTTGATCCTTAAAAGATAACTCATTCCCCTTAATGGTCTTCTCAATGAACCCCCAGTCAAGCCCTACTTTCGAATCCTTGGCTTCCAACCCATGAATATGAATAAGCTCAATAAGCAACGAGTTCTCGAAATGCACAGGGGTTCTCAATGAAGGAACAAGCAAAGCCCGATAAGCACTCAAAACCAAAGAAGCTAAATCAGCAAGCAAAGCCTTTTCTGACCTTGATTTCCTATGGAGTGCGGCTAGAGGATGGAACTCACCTCGGGGCAGCACGCCATCCCCCGACAACCCGGGCCCATAGTCAACGGGCCCCGCAGCGAGGTCGATCCAAATGTACCTCTCCTCCCCGGTCCAAATGCTCCCCAGACACTTGGAGTAATGGGGCGAAGCATCCCGGCCTTCGTAGGAGTAGGCGTAGGGCTTCGACTGAGTATCCAGGTTAAGCAAGTAGATATAGAATCCGGGCGCGGAGCTGGAGCTCTGGAGGCGGAAATCCTCGCGGATGATGTCGTCGACGACGGAGTAGGGGACGGAGTGGAGGTGGGACCGGACGAGGGAGGAGGCCGAGGATTCGATGTGGGCCCGGACGG